TTTTGACTGCTGAAGCCGGATTGAAAAGTAGATGTTTATTATACAAGCATGTAGCTAGACCTCCATGCAGGGAGAGCAGAACAATACATAGTGTTGGATTCAAAGTAATGCTCTAATCTAACTAGGGCTTTCTAATACAATTTATATGCTCTACAGTGGGTGGTACCTAGCTATCTGATCTTTCTTTGAAGAGTCATCTGTGTCTTTGGTGTAACTCATTGAGATGCGAATAGTTATCTACATGTTATTGTTACTTCCATTGTCTTTTGGGTTTAGCAGGATGTCAAAGAAGTCTGGTCATGGTCATTAAAAAGTTTGAGAGGAGTACATGCATCTATGCATAAAGCCCTAAAACAATCACACAGCTGTATAAAGCTCTATTCATTGTAACTGTGTCATTGTGAAGACCAAGACAAGGATAGAGAGAGATAAAGAAATAAATCAATATTTATATCTAGAAATGGCTGCTCCATTTTCCCTTACACAGGTATGGTTCTCTTTCGAATTTTAGTATTAATTATTGGAAGTCTGAAATACTGCCGGTCACGATCCTCCCTGATCTTCTGCCTTTTCTCAAGACTAGCTTCCTGTTTACATGGCAATCCCACACGTTGTCCTACTTGGGCACTCAGATTTCTCCAGACCTCAAACTACTATATTCTGCAAATTACGGGGTGCTGCTACAAGGGTTGGAGAGAGATTTGGGTGCCTGGTACAACACTGCCCTCACGTGGATGGGTCGAATTAATACTCTTAAAATAACGATCCTGCCAAAAATTTTGTACCTACTCTCCATGACCCCGATACACCTGCCACCTGTATTCTTTAGTCACTTACGTAGGTTGTTCATGACCTTCATCTGGCAGGGGAAGTGACCTAGGTTAGCATACTCGCTATTTCACTGATGCAATGAGGATGGGGGCCTGGGAGTTCCTGATATATTCCTTTACTATAAAGCTATGGTTTTGGTCTGTATTTTGAATTAGATGCATCATTCGACAGAGAAAGTTTGGCTTACTCTTGAAAAGTTTATAGCTGGTAGGAATTTGGCGGGGGCCCTGTGGATACGGCAGATGGCCCCCGGGCTGTCCAGCTGGACGAGCCTGGTCATATTGAACACCTTGAAGGTATGGGATCAAGTCAATACTTTGGGCGCTCTTCCCCCCCAACCTCACCCCTTGCCCCGCTAGGGGGCTTCCCTTGGTTCCTGCCTGGGGACGATGTTTCCTTTTTTAATGCGTTTGCATGGAGGGGACTGTTACATGTCTGACCTTGGCCCCGACGGGTAGTTTACTGCCCCTGGATAGTCTGAGAAGATCCTTTGGGACATTCCCCATAGACATTTGGCACTATCGACAGTTACATGATTTCTTCCAGAAATTACTAAGGTGCTACCACATGGATCGCAGACTACTATGTTCAGGAATGGGAAGCGAAGTTAGGGTTTGACTTTACGCCCCACCAGTTGCGGAAAGTTACTCAATTATCCCATGTCTCTTCTATGAGCTCTAAGACGCACGAGTCGTGCTATAAGTTTTTATCTAGATGGTATAGGACACCCTCTCAGTTAGCTAGGATGTTCCCTGGGGCTGACTGTAGCTGCTGGACGGGTTGCCTTCATGAGGGCACCTTCTGGCATCTCTGTTGGTATTGCCCCAAGATTCAACAATTCTGGAGAGCTATTTCCCCTTGGTTCCAGAGAACGACCCTTAAGTCTATTGACTTTACACCCCTGCATTACTTGTTTCATGATGCCCCTTCCTCTACTAAATCTTATAAACATAGTGTTACCCCGCATCTTCTGAATGCTGCCAAGAGTTTGATACAGAGATTCTGTATACAAGCTCTGTGTCCAACTGTTCAGGAGTGGAGGAAGGAAGTAGACAAGATTTATGAAGCTGAACGATGGGTCCACACCGTTAGAAATAATCTTCAGAGATTTCATGATACCTGGTCTGGTTGGCAGTACTACTCCATGGAACTGGAGAGCCCGAATGACCTTCCTTCTGGGGAGCTTCTTTATTAATCGTTAGCCTTTCCCATAGGTTCAGTACCTTAGCTTGGTGACCTCTCCCGCTGCTGACTGCTGTCCCGTGACTGTGGATTTGACCGCCTTACCAACTGACCACTATGCAAAGTGTTTTTTTAGGACCCTTAGGTATTTTTTCTGCACACTTACCCAATTGTTCCTCATCTTGCAGACCTCATGCATTGTGATCCTGTTTTGCCTTAAGATGGCGTATTGAGGCCTTGGACATTTTCTCTCACCTTTTCCTTTTCTGTTTTTCTCATGTGTGTACCTCAACTTAATCCATGTGCTCCATGTACTTGTTGATGCTCAATGTGTTAGCTCAATGTTTGGTTCTGCTTTTACTATATTGTACAGCCATCCTGTCGCCTTGGGACCTGCTGGCCATGTGCAGAGATATAGCTACTGTGTGGTCAGGGGGTCCCTGGGTGCTTAAATTGCACCAGTTCTCACTGCCCTGATGGTGGGCGGGGGGGGGGGGGGTACGTGGCATGTTTTTTTTCTTTATTGCTTGTTTTCTTTTAATTGCTCATACTTGATAGTTCTTTGTATTCTGTTTTGGAAAGCTTCAATAAAGAAATATATAAACAAAGGAGCCAAACAACTATGTAATAATAAGTGGCTTCAAATGATCATCTCCTTAAATAAAAGACAGGTTTTTTGCATGATCAGTCATGTTTTCAACATAAATGCCCAAATTTCATGGTTTCTACCAGGGTATGCAAACTTTTGAGCACAGGTGTATGTTTTGGAAACTAGTGTTAAAGATATTCTAATAACTGAGTTGTGTATTTTATGATATGTAGATAATGTTTATTCATTGGGGGATCAATTTTGAATTGGAATTGACACTTTTATTTTAGTGATTTTTTTTTTTAAATTCTGATCAATGCAAATCAACCAAAAAAAAAAACAAAGCAAAAATAAATAAAACAAAAATAAATAATATAGGGAAAAGCATCCCAAATATACTGAATATATCCATGTGAAGTGATGAAAAACTCCAGTGCTAATATATCTACATCACATTTACCTGTGAGACCCTCCACCTATGGAAGTAAAATTCACCGGAAGATTTGACATCCAAGTTAAAAGTAGTTTATAGGATGTTAATGAATGTCCAAGTATATCTAACACAGAATCCAGAGTAGTATATGGGTGGCTCCCCCCCCTATAAACTTGCATCTCCAACAAACCTCAAAGACCATTAAACCATAAAAGATGTTGAAAATAAAGCAGAAACTTACAATTGAATTTATTTTGATTTAGTTTAGTTTTGAATTGTAAATGTTAAGACAGTTTATTACCTTCTAGTATGCCACTAGAATAGTGTAGGCAAATGTATTGTGTATGACTCATGGTAACTGTGTGAGTCTGTGATTGAGGTTGGGTACTGCAGGTCAGGGCTGGATGACTTGGCAGGTTGGGACTCTATCGCCTCCACCTGACTCTGGAGGGCCATAGAACCTTCCAGAAGCCAGGGGGGCAGAAGGGGTGGAGACCTAATCTGCATGTTTCTTGGAGTTTAAAGTAGAGCTCCAAAAAAAGGGGGAAGGTACGCTTTAAAGCTTTGTCTCCTGCTCCCTGTTAGGATTGGTACCTTTGGGGAGCATGGTAGGAGTGGGTACCTGAATTTGGCAGGTATGCCTAAGGCGATCGGAAGCAGAAGTTGTCCCCCCCCTCTCCATAGTCTACTGGGACACGTGACAGGTCCCTGAAGACTACGGGACCATTTACAAAGCGCAGCGCTACTTGAGCATGCACAGCGGGCACCAGGCTGTGAAGCTGCAAGCTGTCACAGCTGAGTGCCCACACTGAAGATGCTGGTGCCCGGGAGAGAAGACACTGCTGGACTGAGGGACAGGTAAGTGTCTGTATTTTAAAAGTCAGCAGCTACAGTTTTTGTAGCTACTGACTTTTATTTTTGTTTTTCATTCAACTTGAACTCCGCTTAAAAGTCAGGTGCAGTTCTGCATAGAAATCTATTAGCGTCCATTCTTTTTCTAAGCTTAAAGTGTTACTAAAGTCTATTTGTTTTAATTAACATAACAAACATGTTATGCACATCTGCTCTGTGCAATGGCCTTGCACAGAGGTGCCCCGATCCCCCTCTTCTCAGGTCCCATGCTGGCAATCTTGGCTCCTCCTCTTTTGCATGTGTCCCCATAGCAAGACATTTGCTATGGAGGCACACAGTGTCTGCTCACTCCCAAACTCTGTGTCTATAGAGCCGCACCCCATAGACACACATAGCGGGACTTAGCCCTGCCCCCATTTCCTTCTTACTGCATTTGATTGACAGCAGCAGGAGTCAATGGCTCCTGCTTCGATTTGATTCCCTGTGTGAACAGGAAGAGAGGGGAGAAGAGATGCAGCTGTTCTCTTCTTCCCTCTCTTCCGCTTCACACAGGGAAGTGGAAGGACAGAGAAAAAAAATGTTTTTTACCTTAATGCAAGCAATTCATTGAGGTAAAAAAATTTTTTTTTTAGATTTAGTATAACTTTAATTAGAAGCTGATTGGCTACCATTCAGAGCTGCACCAGATTTTGCACTCTCCGGTTTTAGTAAATCAACCCCATTGCACTTATAAAAGTATCTGCATTACATTGGTGTAAAAAAAGTCCCCAATTTGGGGCAGCCTGGAGTCTAATATATGATTGTAGATGGTAGTGTCTTCTTCCTCAGTAATGAGCCTTCAAAGACATTAGATTGGGTTTCATGTTTCCTGGCTCTGGCAATACATTTGCATCACTGCTGTGTGAGGTGTCACCGTGCCCACATGCCACTGCTGGATCAAATACGATCAGATGAGAGAGGTTCAAGGAAATGTTGAAGAACAAAAATACAATTTCAGAAAGTGGAATGAAAATGGACTGGATATGCACAAAAAAGCCTTGAAATTGACTTTACCTTTTAAGAAACAAAATACAAATTACTAAGTTTGGTGGAGCAAATAGTTTACTGTATTTGTTAATGACATCCTTGGAGTGTCTTCTTTAATGCTACTTTCACTTCTCTATTTCTAAGGCAATAGACAATTGGATTCAAGGCAGGAGTTACAATGGAATAAAAAATGGAGACATATTTGGCTAAGTTAAATGAACTTAACTTTTTTGGCCTTGCATATATAAAAATTGTTGTTGAATAAAAAATAGTAACAACTGCAAGGTGTGAAGCACAAGTTGAAAAAGCTTTCCTCTGCCTTTCCTTTGGAATTCGTATGATGGCCTCTATGATAGAGAAATAAGTAAAGATTATCACAGAGAGAGGTACAAGAATAATTATCATACCCAGGATGAAATCTACCAGTTCGGCAAGTGATATATCGTTGCAAGCCAAATTCAGCACTGGAGAAATGTCACAGAAAAAATGGTTGATTGTATTGGGACCACAAAAGTTTAACCTGAAAATGATAATTGCTTTAAACATAGCAACGGAAAACCCAATTAACCAAGATCCCACTGCCATGAGCATGCAACAGGTGTTATTCATAATGACTGTGTAACGCAGAGGGATGCATATTGCTACATATCTGTCAAAAGCCATAACTGCTAAAAGTACACATTCAGTGCAAGCAAGAGAAATAAAGATGTACATCTGAGCCATGCAAAAGGCAAAGGCAATCATTTTATGTTGGGTCAGGAAGTGGCAAAGAAGAATAGGCACTGTAACAGTGACATACCAGACTTCTAGGAAAGAAAGACTGCATAGAAAATAGTACATTGGCTTGTGGAGTTTTATGTTTAATTTGATAGTTATAATGATCACCAAGTTTTCTGTCACAGTTAAAAGATATATTACTAAAAAGACAAAAAAGAGAAAAACCTGCATTTCTGGACGTGTCGTAAATCCAACAAGAAAGAATTCAGTGACATTGTTAATGCGATGTGCTTTCATCTTGAGGTAACCTGAAATTGTAGCATGTACATGAGACATTGACCCCTAATTGAAGGACGTTTTATTTGTTAAAATACTGTGCATTTTATTTTACTAAAATACTTTTTACCGAATGGATCATGCCAGTGTATCGTGCATTAAAACATATAGTTTCTATCAAAAGCCCATGTGAAAGAATGACAATGTAGAAGCACATAGAAGCAACATAGAATGGAAGATAAGGAGAAAAAAGCATTGTTACCCTATAAAAGGAAGTGCCTGAATATGTACCTTCAATTAGGATTACCAGTTTTTAATGAAGGCAGCAGGTATAAAGAAAAACAAAAAACTTTTAACCACTTGCCCTCCAGAGGATTTACCCCTCTTGCTGACCAGGCCATTTTTTGCAATACGGTGCTACAATACTTTAACTGAAAATTGCGCAGTCATGTAATGCTGTACATAAATAAAATTTATGTCCTTTTTCCCACAAATAGAGCTGTCTTTCAGTGGTATTTGATCACCTGTGCGGTTTTTATTTTTTGCGCTATAAACAAAAAAGACCGACAATTTTGAAAAAACCCAACAACAATATTTTCGACTTTTTGCTATAAAACACATCCAGTAAAAAAATTTTAAAAATCAAATTTCTTCATAAATTTAGGCCAAAATGTATTCTGCTAAAAAAAAATCCCATGACATGTAAACTGATTGGTTTGCATCAAAGGAAGGAGTTAATATCTGGGGCAATTAAATGGTTAACAGTGTGCTGTTGTGTATTTCTCAAAAGAAAAGAGGAGAAAGGCGCCTCTAAGTGTAAACTGTAAACTTTTTTTATTGCACATAAAAGACAGCAAATTACAGGAGGGTAGATTAAAAAAAACACTTTAATATCTATCAAAGGGAATTGGCCATGGTGAGCAGCATGGTGTGCAGTTCTGGACGATGATCTATCTTCTGTCAGTGTGAGGCATCATGGCCGGCAAGATGGAGGAGGTCTGGCACCGAGGCTTGGAACACACAGCGCAGTGCAGCGTGTGAATGATGATGTCACCAGGCATCGTACGACGCATTTCCTGAGCATGCGCTGTGAGAAAGCTGTGTCTTACAGCCCACAGCTGATGTCAACTGAGCTTCACCAATCCCAGCAAGGTAGGTAAAAGGAAGCCAGCATAGCCGTGCCTACTCTGGCGTGCACAACTCACTCAATTCCATTAGTTTGACAAAGGAGTGAGCTAGAACTGCTATCTCACAGGACTAAGCTTCAATCCAGTGAAAGACAGCCATAAGTGAACAGGACTCTATTCACCTTGCTGGTTATATACTTGTCATCAACTGTTTGACAGAATATCCCTGATCTCTTTACTTCTACTACAACCCAATTGAGTCCCATTTATATGGTATTGATATATACAGTGGTTTTTTTATACATTGATGTTCTCTTGCCTTTACTCACGGTCTTAAAGCCATCCTCAGATTGTAAATAGGTTGCACTCTTTTCTTTTGTCTTTTGTTTTTTTGCTGTGTATTTCTCTGCTGTGCAGAGAAATACGCAGCAGCATGTCCTTGCGGGCAGGAGAGAGACCTGTGCTGTTTACACAGAGGTCTCTTCCCTGTCATATTTACACGGCAATCACTGGGTACCGGCGGGGGGATCTCCGGCCGAGACCTGGTGATTGACATGCCTAGCCTCCAATCAGAGGCGGACTCATGGGGCCCCCGGGCAATAGGGGATCATGGGGCCCCTGTGTCCTTGCCCACACTCAAAAAAGCCTATAAAAAAAGTACCAGGGGCATTTCATGGAGCCCTCTACTGACCCCGGGCCCTCAGGCAGTGCCCGAGTGCTCGAATGGTCAGTCCGCCCCTGCTTTCAATGGCATGCGCCCCCTACCCAGAAATGCAAATCATGTATATATACAGTAATTATACTATAGGGCAGTGGCTAAATGAGATCAACTGTATGGAAGATTTCAAACACTTCCAAAATCAGTCAGCACTGTCCCTAAACAATAATAATTGTGAATATATCTCCAAAATCTAAGTTGCCGCTAAACATCAAAAAAGTGCTTTCACTACACTACACATATCATATATTAAAACATAGATGTAGCTCAATAAATACAGATAAACATAAAATACAGCTGATCACAAATAAAAAAAAATATGAACTATAAAAAATAAAGTCCGTATGATCCAATCCAAGAAAAAAGTCTACCACCAATGTGCTGTGAATGCGTACTCCTTTCCACTCCTTCCAATATTATCTGTGTTGTGCATACAGTCACTAGGAGGCCATACAAAACTTATTGGTTTGGGAATCAGAAATACTGTGGAGTATGTTCTTATTTTCTATAAGAACTATTACCATCTGGATATGTCTTCCTCTAATTGCATTTATACAGCCACTCTGTAAAGACTGTATATTAGCATTTTGTATCTTATTACTGAAATGTACCTCATTCTGTTAAATGCGGAATGATAAAATAAAGAATTAGAAAAAGGCTTTTGAATGACATTACCATGTTATATAACATTTAGTGATTGAGTTTACATATACTTTTAGTGACTCAGACAACTTACTCACTGCTAGTGGAGTTATGTAAATTCCTTTCTTGTATCTGGTGAACTTACAGGTGAAACTCGAAAAATTAGAATATCGTGCAAAAGTTCATTTATTTCAGTAATGCAACTTAAAAGGTGAAACTAATATATGAGATAGACTCATTACATGCAAAGCATGATAGTTCAAGCTGTGATTTGTCATAATTGTGATGATTATGGCTTACAGCTCATGATAACCCCAAATCCACAATCTCAGAAAATTAGAATATTACATGAAATCAATAAAACAAGGATTGTACATAGAACAATATCGGACCCCTGAAAAGTATAAGTATGCATATGTACTCAGTACTTGGTTTGGGCCCCTTTTGCAGCAATTACTGCCTCAATGTGGCATGGCATGGAAGCTATCAGCCTGTGGCACTGCTGAGGTGTTATGGAAGACCAGGATGCTTCAATAGCGGCATTCAGCTCTTCTGCATTGTTCGGTCTCATATCTCTCATCTTTCTCTTGGCAATGCTCCATAGATTCTCTATGGGGTTCAGGTCAGGCAAGTTTGCTGGCCAATCAAGCACAGTAATCCCACGGTCCTTGAACCAGGTTTTGGTGCTTTAGACAGTGTGGGCAGGTGCCAAGTCCTGCTGGAAAATGAAGTCAGCATCCCATAAAGCTCGTCTGCGGAAGGAAGCATGAAGTGCTTCAAAATCTCCTGGTAGACGGCTGCGTTGACCCTGGACTTAATGAAGCACGGTGGACCAACACCAGCAGATGACATGGCTCCCCAAATCAACACAGACTGTAGAAACTTCACACTGGGCTTCATGCATCTTGCAGTGCGTGCCTCTCCATTCTTCCTCCATACTCTGGGTCCTTGGTTTCCAAATGAGATGCAAAAGTTGCTCTCATCAGAAAAGAGAACTTTGGACCATGGAGCAACAGACCAGGTCTGTTTTTCTTTAGCCCAGGTAAGACGCTTCTGACGTTGTTTGTTGTTCAGGAGCGGCTTGACAAGAGGAATATGACATTTGAAGCCCATTTAAAGGATCCGTCTGTGTGTGGTGGCTCTTGATGCACTGACTCAAGCCTCAGTCCACTCCTTGTGAAAGTCCCCAACACTTTTGAATGGCCTTTTCCTGACAATCCTCTCCAGGCTGCGGTCATCCCTGCTGCTTGTGCAACTTTGTCTTCCACACTTTTCCCTTCCACATAACTTTCTATTAATGTGCTTTGATACAGCACTTTGGGAACATCCAACTTCTTTTGCAATTACCTTTTGAGGTTTTCCCTCCTTATGGAGGGTGTCAATGATGGTTTTCTGCACAACTGTCAGGTCAGCAGTCTTTCCCATGATTGTGATTCCTACTGAACCAGACTGAGAGACAATTTAAAGGCTCAGGAACCCTTTGCAGGTGTTATGGCTTAATTAGCTGATTAGAGTGGGACACTTTGAGCCTAGAATATTGCACCTTTTCACAATATTCTAATTTTCTGAGATTGTGGATTTGGGGTTTTCATGAGCTGTAAGCCATAATCATCACAATTATGACAAATCACGGCTTGAACTATCTTGATGTAATGAGTCTATCTCATATATTAGTTTCACCTTTTTCATCTTTTAAGTTGCATTACTGAAATAAATTAAATTTTGCACGATATTCAAATTTTTTGAGTTTCACCTGTATATAAAGGTCCATGTGTTTTTATTTTATATTCCATTAGACAGTATACATTTTACATAATGATTAGATCCAATTTTTTCAAATGTAACGCAAGAGCAAACTCTTACATAAACCCGCAGAAGTGACTAGTCTCAGGTGATACACAGTGATGAATTCAATCCTCCTACATAAGCTGTGTCTGTTTATCTTCAGCCCACTCTATTCCATAGCTTTTCAAGGTACACAGCTTAGATGGTATTTCTCAGTCAGGAGGGGAGGAGCCTGAGCATGGCGGAGACGGAGAGAGCGGAGTAGACTCTCTCTGTTACCCCCCCCGCTTTACCCCGTTCCCGTTGGCTGCGCCGTGGACTTACCCGAGGGGGTCTTTGGCGGTTGAGAAGAGTCCGTGAGGGGATGTAGGAGGAGCGGGGTGTTGCCGGGAGGTGAACCCGGAAGAAGTGTCGGGTTGCCAGGGAAGCGGCGTGGCCACGTGACAGCCGTGGAGGAGTGCTGGGAAGGAAAAAAGCCAGCCGACGTCCAATGGGGCCGGAGAGAGACGCCGGCTTGAAAGGAAAGCAACCTGCCTGCTACCTGCAACTGAGAGTGGATAAAGGAAGAAAGAGGGACCCGGAGGAATCCCCCTAAAAGAGTGAGAACAAGGACAAGAGAGAACTGGGAACAGGAGATAGCGAAGTTAAAGCCGCCTCACTGAAAGATTTACAAGGAGGAGGGTGAGTGAGAGCGGCTGGACTGTATACTGTCCCTGTATATAATGACTGTATAAGGACCCCTAATGTTG